GTGTGTGTGTGTGTGTGTGTGTGTGTGTGTGTTTGTGTGTGTGTGTGTGTGTGTGTGTGTACATACATTACTGATCTGCTCCTGGGTCCGTCTGAGTCTCTGCATCTCAGGAGTGTCGGACACGATGCTGAACCCTCGACCTTTACTCTCCTCAAAGTCCTTCTTATACCTCACCTGCAGGAAAGAAAACAAAAATATATTAAAAGGATATTAAAGGAATATTCCCTTTATATATTTGCGATGTTCTCTGCATTGATTAAAGTGACTCAATTATTTCAGTATAAGTCAATGACAATGTACAGTATGTGAATTCATCAAATGGGACTTTCTATATCTGGCAGAGCTGGTGTTATGGCTGCAGGATTTGGCATCCGTTCTGTAACCTTGGCCAGCATGGTCATAATCTCACCAAAATCACACTGGTGAGAGTTATTCCCCTATAGCAGTGAGTCGACCATCAACTGGTGGCCCGCGGGCCACATCCGGCCCGCCAGACATTCTCATCCGGCCCGCACGGCGGGGGTGACTGTGGCGTTGGCGGAGTGGTTACAACGTCTCGTGAGTAATGTGCAGTACCGGAGTCCAACAGAGAGGCAGCAGCTGCGGGACAGTAGACTGCGTAGCCTTCCCTGCCCTGAAGAATAAGTGATCCTTTGTTAGCGTGAAGAGCGGTGAAGAGTCTGCTTTATGCGCTCCGCAGCAGTAGCCCCGCTGCCCCCCCCGGACAACAACTACAAAATTATGGGCTATATATAAAAATCGCTGGACCGCAAAAGTGTCTATTGGATAAATGTTGGCCCTTGGTCAAATGTAGTTGGTGATCCCTGCCCTATAGTTTACGTAAACAAAAGCAATATACTCTGAGCCTATCAGATGAAATATTAAAGTAGAGTGAATGACATCAAACACCCAGTCTTTTAAAATTGTTCTTTGATCTGATATTTCCTGCTTCAATTAATAATTTTGCTAGTTTAAAGTCCAAGATTGGTGATATTCTAAATTTTGTAACAATATATCAAATTAAAAAGACCAAATATCAGTGGTAACCTGTAACACCACAGTGTACAAATAAAGTTCCAAGTACAGCATTTAAAAGTAAAATTAAAAGTATGAGCATCAAAATCCAGAAAAAGTAAGGATGCAGATAGTCACATTTTAGATAAATATATTTATTAGATGGCTTATGGCTAGTTGAATACTCGATTCTGATTGGTCAATTCAGCACACGTGACACGTTGTTAATACAGAACAGACAGACCGCTGTCAAGGACTTATTGACCGTTGTTAAGGGCGCTCACATCTGCAGAAAGAAGTTCGGTCGATTTAACTGTATACAGTTTGGCCGAAAAGCAAACTGCGTGCAGTTTGCCTTCATGCATCTGCATGCATCTGCACCTTCATGCAGATCCAGTTTGCCTTCATGCAGATCCAGATCCCTCCGCGTCGCGTCGGGCTCCTGATCAGCCTGTCGAGTGTTCTTTTCCCCATAAAGACCACGTCGCTGCACATTATCCCTTACATAATACACCACTCGTCATGTCTCGCCTAATTGGAAAAAGTTGCGGACGAACATTTTTAGTTAAACTTGTTGTTATAAAGGCATGGCAGAGACTTTTAATCATGAGTCTTCAGCAGGGGGTCTGTGACCCCTATGGGGCCCTCCGGGTTACTGCAGGTGGGCGCCAAATTCTTGTTTTATAATGTTTTATCCAAAAAGAAATGTACATACGTATGAATGAATACATCTAGTCGAATCAATTAAAATCTGGATATTCACTCACACTTGAGTTTTGATGACACCAGCTGCTTCAGCTGTGACACAAACACACACTGCCGGGTCACATGACCATGTCTCATCCATAACTCAACTGGGTCAGTGTGTACACTCACACTGCACGCCTCTTTGTCTGTTATAATCACTTCCTGAAGCTCGACTTTAATGCTCCAGCGCTAATATGAAGTGATTGAAACATCTCCTCTGGGGACATCAGACACATGGGTCGGATAGTTGAAGAAGAGAAGGAGGGGGGTTATAACATAAATCTATCTCTCAGAGACGAGTAGAAATAAAGTGCACGTAAATCTGCACGTGGAATATCAAAAGTAGCTCTCCTGATGCAATCTAAAAACAGCTTCCCCTCGTCGTTTTATTTCACATACAGTAATTGCTATCAAACAAATGACAACAAATATTTACAATCAGCCTTCATTTATATCCTTAAGAAACTTCACGTTTGGCTTGGTGACTGTTTTGACTAAGAGGACATCTTAAAATTACACTTTGTGTGCAGTCAGGCTTCATGTTTGTACGTCATCATTTATTCACCAAGTTTGTTCCCGTCGCAATTTCACATTTTCTGTGTGTGTGTGTGTGTGTGTGTGTGTGTGTGTGTGTGTGTGTGTGTGTGTGTGTGTATGTGTGTGTGTGTGTGTGCGCATGTACCTGGCTCTGTAGTTCACTCTGCTGTTTGAGTCTCAGGTTCTCCGGTGTGTCGGCCACGATGGTGAACGACGTCTTGGGGTAATGTCTAAAGGAGGAAGAGCAGAGTTTCAAATTAATCCAGTAGAAATGTTTGAGCTAAAAATACCCAGTACTTCAGTAAATATACTTAGTCCACCACTCAATGACGCTAAGAATAAAAACTGCCACAACATTTAATATGTGACATTCGTCAAAGCTGCTAATGAACCAATACATTAGAAATGCGTGAAAGATTAAATGTTTTTCACAACTATTCCTCAATAACTTTTAACCAATTATTGATAACCCCAAAATTAAAATGGAAACTTTCCACTTCTAACCAATGAGAGTCAAGTTTCCAGACAAATTCATTTTTTGGAGCAAACATTTTGGCTTCAACATCTCTTCAACATTTCCAGGAAATATGGACCCGTTTAAACAATGAAGCCTGCAGCCGTTGCATGCTGGGAGTAACCCGAATGAGTTAAAGATGATGACATTAGCAGGAACAATGACCCATTGAGAGGTTCAAAATAAAAAAGCAACACACTGCTATACCTCTCTTTTTCCCACAGGACCTTTTGGTAACTTATTAGTGACCTTAAGATATATATTTAGTTTTCTGTATCTACAAAGAGCATTCGTGAGTTGACATGTAAAGCTATTCTCTGCAGGAAGCATGAAGCACAATGGAGCGGGGGAACAATACAAAACCCTCCCACACTCAGGAGGAACTTTGAAAAGGTGGCTTTTTGGTAGGCAATGTTTAGAACAGGAAGATAATTATTACAACCATTACTTATAATTCTTTAGGCGACCTGAGTTCCAGGAAAACAACTCTTTAAGACTTTTCTGTTTTCTACATTTCAAAATAGCGCAGCGTTTGCAATTGATGTACCTTGTATTCATGCTGTAGCTATCTGGGGTAATGCTAACATAATTATTCAATCACTTTTAGTGGTGAAGAATATCAAGAAACTAAGGAGGAAAAAGTAGACAACAAGAAGAACACCTACAACAAGAGAAAACAAGAACAAAACATGCAAGAAGATGAGAAACACAAGAAGAAATCAGCCAGGTGAAAGGAGAATTACAACATACAGCTACAGTAGCCGATTCATTTAGCCTGCGACTCTTTCTGTGAATCATGGACACCAGCAGTCTCTCTTCGGCACAGTTTGACCCCTGTACTGTCCTTCACTCCTCTCCTCCTCTTCCTCCCACCTCTCCTCTTTCTACCTCCCACGCTCTTTTCTGTATTTACTCCACGTCCCTCCCACACACTCTCCCTCCATCTCTCCCTTGCTTTTATTCCGATTCGAAGGTAGTCCTTGCACGAGTCTAAGGTAACCACACCTCATTCGTGCTCATGGAAGGCAGCAGCAAAACGTGGTCTGATGATATAAAACCAAACACAATACATCATTGTGTTAATAGCATGTTTGTCTGCACCTACTGTATGAGCTCAACATTAGCCATTAAAGGCTCTTTATAGAAATTGCTCACCATAAGAGAGAATGGCTTTTTTCTCAAAAATTGTCTAAACACAAAGAAATAAGAATAAAATAAATCTTCACATTTTAAAAGAAAACCCTGCACTTTCCCAAAATAACATGCATCATTTAAAACACTTCATTCCTTATTAAACCCATGTTTGTGAGCTATTTGTTTCACTATGTAACACTGTACACCTCTAGTGTCCCGTCTGACCCCTGTTTGTCCTCGAGGTCAAACACAATGCACACACTATGAGAGGAACCTAATACACACAGACACACGAGAGAATCACCTGTTACCTGACACCAGACTCATTATCATGTTGTTGCAGATGCTGACTTTATAACCATGATAATAATAATTACAGGCTGCCGTGATCTTTACGTGATGATTATCAGAAGATCACAAACAGTCATCATGATCTTTAAGACTTTCATGCAGCCCTCCATTGAGTAGCAAACTTCAAGCAACTGACGTGATTTCAAAACTAACTGGTTGTGTTATTCTTTATATTTTCTTCCTTCTGTCTCACTATTTCTCCTCTTTCTCTCAATTTTAGTCATAACGTTTATTCTCTTTCTCTGAGACATAAACATGGAAAGACTTCCTGTAGAGGCTTGTTAGAAGTTAGCTTGTTAGAGTCTTTTTTATTTAACCGTCAGGCCTTTGTTTCGCTTTGCTACTCTTAGTTTTAGTGTTACATAAACACACAAACTAAATTCGTCTTGAAGTTTTCACTTCACCTGTTCCCGTCGCTACTGGCAACCATGGATGCTTTGTTCGTTTGGTGCAACCCGATACTTTGAGACAAAGAGCTGCTCTGTGGGATACCACACACACACACACACACACACACACACACACACACACACACACACACACACACACACACACACACACACACACACACACACACACACACACACACACACACACACACACACACACACACACACACACACACACACACACACACACACACACACACACACACACACACACACACACACACACACACACACACACACACACACACACACACACACACTACACTACTACTACGTACGTAACGTACGTACGTACGTACGTACGTACGTACGTACGTACGTACGTACTACGTACGTACGTACGTACGTACGTACGTACGTACGTACGTACGTACGTACGTACGTACGTACGTACGTACGTACGTACGTACGTACGTACTACGTAACGTAACGTACGTACGTACG